CCTCCCATCCTCGTCTCCCCAGAAGCAGCCTCTGCGTCTGCTCGAGCCCCTTCGGAGCCCCTCCGGCTTCCAGGCGGTGGCAGCCCACTCGCCCGGGAAAGGACGAAGGACGGGGGCAGGAGAGGGCCAGTGTGCGCGCGTGTGTGCGTGTGTGCGTGTGCAAATGGGTGCTTGGAGATCAGCCCGGTCCCCCGTCGCCCTTGGGAACGAACGGGCCAGGCCCCGCAGCCGCCCCGAACTCATCACACCTCCTCAAACCGCAAGGGGCTGGTGGAGGAGGGCCCCGATTCCCACCCTGCCAAAGAGAGGGGGAGTCCCCATCTCGGGCGGCCTCCCTGCTGTTCCTTGGAACGACTGTGGGTTAAGGAGCTCGGGCGCTGGCTTGTCCCGGGACCCTCTGACTCCGACCTGGCAGCCTCCAATCTAGCAGAGAATTAGGAGAAGCTCGAAAGCCCCGGCTCTGTGCCAGCCCCCCCCCAAAAAAATCTGGAAGCAGCCAATCCCAGGAATTCCCTTGTAGACCGGAGATGCACCGAGAGCACTTTGGGGCTCAGGACAGAGCCCTTCTGCCGCCTCGCAATTCCTTCCAGAGGGAATTCAGGCGCTTTCCGGGCCGGCCAAAGCTTCTTGCGAGCCAGCGCCCAGCTTTAACTGGGATTCCTCGCTGCGCAGCGGTTGGACTAGAATCTAGGGGGCCTCGAGGGTCCTTCCAGCTCTAGGGTTCTGATGCCCCCCACCCCCAGTTAGGACTTCTTGCAGCATTCTTGAAACCCTCAGGGAGCCCAGCTGCAGTGGAGACTGGGAATTTGGAGAGCTGCAAAGTTGGGGAGTTTACCCCTGGGAGATTCTGGGATGGGATGGTCAGCTCGCCCGCGGCGAGCGAGCGTCGGGTTCCCGGTACCTGTTATAGTTCCTCTTCTGCCGCTTGACGATTTCAGCCCCGACGCGTCTGGAGACGAAAGCTGCAGGGAAAGTGGGCGGCGGGCGTTTAGGACAGCGACCTCTCTCCACTGACCGGGCATGGGGGGGCTGGGAACTGAGACTTTGTTTCCAGTTTTATAAGTACACTGTATGATTCTAGTCCTCATTGTCTGTACAGAACGAAGAGGTTTCCCCTTCTCCCGAACCCGATGTTTCCACGTTTGCAAAGCAGGGCTGAAAAGAAAGGCCACCCAGGCCCTTCCCCACGGCTGACCCGAAGGGCTCTTAGTGGGCACAAAGTGAGGCGGGCGTAACATCCGCATTCCTCTCGCCGCCCTCTAGTTTCAAGCGCGTGCCAAAGGGCGCCATCCTGACTTGCCTGGGGAAGGGCCTGGGGGTCAGCTGCTGTCCCCCCGCCCCTTTGGCACAGCTCCAGCGGAGGGGAGAACCTCCACAAGTGGGGCAGTGCCAGCCCCAGGGCCCCGGGAGCGAGGGCCAGCCCTACAGAGCTGGCAGAGCGTGAGGCTGCGCCAGGACACTCCCGGGCACCTCAAGGCTGCTCCTCTCCTGGGCCAGGGCGAGGGGAGCCCGGGGCCCTCGAGGGCGGCAGGGCATGGCAGGGCGGGCCCCACTCACCTTCCGAGCTGGGCGACTCGTTGGCGCTCTTGGAGTGAGCGGAGTCCTCTG